CACCGCCCCGATCCAGGGCGGCCCGGGGGAGCTGGAGCTGGCGCTGGAGGAGGAGCTGGCCCTGCTGGCCGCCGCCGGGGAGCGGGAGCGGGAGCCGGAGCAGGGGCCTCCGGCGGCCGGGCAGGAGCCCGAGCTGCTCTCGCTGATCAGGCAGAAGGAGAAGGACTTGCTGCTGGCGGCCAGGCTGGGGAAGGCTCTGCTGGAGAGGAACCAGGACATGAGCCGGCAGTACGAGAGGATGCACAAGGAGCTCACCGACAAGCTGGAGGTGAGGGGGGCAGCGGGTCTGGGAAACACCTGTCTTAGTTCCTGGGGCCTTTGGTGGTATAGACAGGCTCTGGGCCTCCGACTGTCCGCGAGACATCAGCAGCAGCCTGGATTTCCGGGGTAGTTTCTGCAATCTGGTGGGAAAACCAATGGGGTGGACTTCAGGGCAGGGTGGGAGGAAGACGTTGGCTTGGAGATGCATGCCAGAAGGGTGGAGTGGAAAGAACAGGGCTCCAGAGATACCTGAGGGTTGTGGACTTGGCAGGTGGGTCTGAAAACTTGGCCTTGTTGTGGGTCATTAAAGAAGGCTGAGAAACTTGGTTTCCAGAGGTAAGGATGACTTGAGACCCAAGCTGGAGAGTGACCTGGCTGCCCAAAGGAAAGAGATGTGTTGCCATTTGGAGTGGAAAGTACCTGAAGTCTGAGCACTAATGTATCCAGTGTTGGGAGGAGGAAAGAAAAGAGAACTGAGCTTTCAAAAGCATGGAGGAAAGGCTTTCTTCAAAGCAAGTTCTGTGTTTCAGCTGTACCTTGGAAAGAAGCTGAATATAAATCAGTTAATTGTGATACAATATCTTAATTTTTTTCCACTCTTTCCCCCCCCGCTTTTAGGGTAATTTCAGACCAGCTTTGCTTTCCTTCTCACTCCTCTGTTTAGAAGTTTGTTATGCTGCCAGAACATTTTCTCCCCTCAAATATATGTAATACATATAACCTCATTATTATAGGTATTAAAAGTTAATGTGCTACAAGATGTAATTCTCCCCAAACTGAAGTTTCTATACTAAAACCTTTAGATATTCTCGCCTTGACCTCTTGTTTTAAGGCTATGGAGGGTAAGAGGAAACCACGAAATACTTTGAATGTCAAGAGATAATAGATAAAGCCTTTATCCACAGACTTACGAGCACCTAACATGGAACTATTGTCAATAAAAATGAAGATCCAGACATTTAATTTCACCATGTTTAACAATAGTTATGTGTATCCTATATATAACAAAATGGGAAAACTGTACCCTACTATAACATATGACATTTCAGTTACTAATTTTACCAGCCCTCTATCTTTTAAACATTTCCCATGTGTGGTGCTTGTTCCAGACAACAATAGTTCTTCACTGGTACCTTCCCTTTTTGTTCATTGGAGGCTAGGCACATGTTATTTTAAGGGGGACCTAAGAGAGATGTGGAAAGGCCCTCAGCAAGGCATCTGCTGAAAATTTTCCATGGTGATGGGAGGGGAAAAAGATTTGTTAGGAATTTAGGCATGCTCTCAAAAAAAAAAAAAATCTCCTTTCAATTTTTTTTGCTGGCTCCAAGAACTTCTAATATATTTGTACTAATCCAAAATGCAGTGGAATTTGCTGAAACATTTGTGAAGTGGGTCCTGCTTCTGCCTGAGGAGGAAAAACACTAGGTATGCTTTAATTATGGGAATACAAAAGGGGGAGTATCTAGGTCTTGTTTCAGGAACACTTCAGAAATTAAATTTACATGAGAAGATACTGAGCTGTAGGGCATAAACTTTGTGCTGAACAATTGGCTCCTATGTATAATGTGTGCCAGCAGATGAACCCTTATGATACACGTGTGTGAACTACTTGCCTTACCAATACCTATGAATAGCTGGAAAGAGTTTTTGCCTAGGAACCCTGTGGATTGAGCCCTTTACTGATGTTTAGATTGAAATGGAGTTGTTATAAATAAAAGGGCTTGTGCAGGCAGCTTGGAGCACTTTTGTTATACAACTATATAAAAATTACTATTACACCCATTCTTTGCTCAGATTTATACCAGAAGTTCTAATTCTACCAGCAAGTGGTTTAGTTGAAAAGACCAAGCTCAAGAAGCACCCTTTTGGAGCTATCTTGAACAGTGCTGGATTAACATTCAAATTTGAAGCTGTTGCCGTACACTAGCCCTCTGTATACAACTATGTATATTTCTGTGTTTCTTGTGGAGTCTCCTATCTTTGCAAATTCATTGGGGTTTATGAAATTATTCTACTATAAGCAGCAGAGTCCTTTGTTCTGTGCATTTGTTCAACCCAAATGTAGAATGTTATCATGTTTATTATTAAATCCAAAACTTTATTACAGCTAATCACTTTCTCACTGCAATAATCTCCTTCAGAATTTACTGCTCTGATGGTAACATTAGTAAGGGTAAGCAGTCCTCAACATTAGTGAGGGTAAGCACCTTAAGATCCTATTAAAGGTCCTGATGTTGAGAACTGGAAGTAAAATAAGACTGGAGATTGCAAAAGTTTAAGATGGTTTTGTTCAAAATTGAGGTACAAGAAATGGTACCAGTTATGACCAAACTTATGAGGTACAAGAAATGGTTTCCAGTTATGACCAAACTCTCGATTCATGGTACAGATGTTTTGGAGAGGGTAATAGAAATGAGGAAAGACCTTTTGTTGTGTTTTTATTGATTATACCAAATCTTTTTATAGAGTCAAGCATGAGGAGTTAATGACAATGCTGAAAGAACTGAATATTGATGGTAAAGACTTGAGAATTTTAAGAAACCTCTGTTGGACCAAACCACAGCAGTGAAGATAGAAAATGAACTAAGTGATTTCATCCAAATTAAGAGAGGCATGAGGCAAGGTTGTGTTTTTTTCACCTGACTTGTTCAATTTGTATAGTAAGAAAATACTGAGGGAGATTGAGGATTTACCAGGGCTGATCATTGGCAGACAGAATTTGAACAACCTGTGTTATGCTGAGGACACAGTCTTAATAGCTGATTCAGAAGAAAAGCTGCAAGGAATTTTAGATAAAATTGTTAGTGAAAGTGAGTAGAAGGGTGTAACTGTCAACTGTAGAAAACCAGAATGCATAGTAGTTACAAAGAAGAAGATCATTCCTGTATGCAACATCACAGTGGAAAAGGAACAGATAAGGCAGGTCAATAAATCTGACTGCTTGGGAAGCTGGATAACATCAGATGGTAAATGTGATCATGAAATAAAACAGAGAATAGGGACGGCAAAAGACACATTTTTGAAAATTAAAAAGATATTGGCAAATAGTAAAATTTTCTGTGGAGACTAAGTTAAGAGTTTTGGATTCCTATGTTATACTACTCCTCATGTATGCATCAAAATGCTGGGCAATATCGCTAAGTATGGAAAAGAGCATTGAAGCAAGTGAAATGTGGTTCTTAAGGCCCATCTTGAAGGTATGTTGGACAAGTCACACTTCAAATAAAGATATTTTGTTAAGAGCAGACTGCAGAAGGAAGCTGATTAACATCAGAAAGAGACCGTTGGAGTTTCCTGGACACATTATGAGAAAGAGGAAATCAAGAGTTTGGTCATAACTGGAAAGACTGAAGGAAGGAGAGATTGTGGAAGACAGAGAGGTAGACTCTTGACATAAGTCAATCTAAGTGGATGAATGTGTCAAAACTGGAAATTCTGTATGTGTCAAAGAGAAGAGATCTGTGGAAGACCATGGTCACCAACGTCCTGTTTGGATATGGTACCTAGAGAGCGAGAGAGATTTTTCAAATTTTGCTTAATTACATTATTTAATAGTATAAACTTTCCTCAAATGCACTCATGTACTCAATGCAGTAGGAGTGCAATAGGTTAGGTTAGCTTTTGTTTTAACATGGTTTTCCTGGTTAGATTATATAGCTTTAAAGAGAGAGAGCTTCCCATGGACAGTTGCTGAAGCTGGGCTCCATCTTTATTTTTCTGACATTCCATTTAAAACTCCATTTAGTATTGGTTTGTTGCAAAATGTATTTGGTGAAACTAAAACATTAATTTATGATTAACTTTCTAATGACTATCAACTTTTCCCAGTTGCATGTCTAAGTTTTCATGGGTTCATTGGAAGCTATCTTCTTTGTCTCAAGGGATATTATAGATATTGATAAATGATAAATAAGTGTACATAATAAATATGATACAGAATTAGTGTTACTTTTATTACCTCTTGGGCATATCTACACAAGACTTCCTGTGCAGTAGCCTAACAACACTGCGCAGTAGTGTGCTGGTCAAAACCCGTGCTGATATGCTACTGCACAATGTTATTAGGCTACTGCACAATGAGCATCACAAAAAAACATACTGGCCGTACTGCACGGTAGCGTGAGTTACTGTGCATTTAGTTAGTACTTCATTAAATAAGTACTAACCTTAATGTGCAGTAACTACTGCATGTGAATGAACATGTAGACCCACCCACTCAAAACTAGAATTTGTTTTCTGTTTTCTTGCTCAGAAAACAAACCTCTGAAACTATGTCTCTTCATGTATGTAAAACTTGAAAAAAATAAAATACAACTAAAAATTGGATTCTGTAATTCTAGATTTTTCAAGCTAAAAATTACCATATTGCAAAATTTCTGTTGGCTAATGAGAAAAGAGACAGGCCTGTGGGGCTGGAGTGGGCAATGTGAGGAAGAAGAAACATGTTCCTCATTTGATTCATTTCCTAATCTGGGTCTTATATTGTCCCTGTAAAATTCATGATTGCTGCTTTTTGATGTTGGCAATAAATGGGACCCAATTTAAAATCTCTAGTTGCATTTTCACCCAGATTTACTGCTGTCAAACATCATGTACTAAGAGACATATTCTGTAAGTTAATTGTTCAGAGTTGAGGTTGACAGTTCAGTGACGTTAACTCGGTCCATTTCCTCTCTGCAAGTACACTCATTAGCTCTTTTTGTTTTCCTGATAATTGTGCTTTTACAGTTTTATCATTTTGTCATCATTACAATTATAAACTTACAGTCTCTTTTGAAAATTATTTTTATTCTTTACAGATTAGTAAATGCTCTGGCCCATCCCCTTTGGACTATTAGCTGTTCATCTCCGGAAATGTTATATCTATTTTGATGGTCTGTTATTGAGGTGCTATGTTGTTCACTACATGTGCCTCCTTTGACAGATCAGTGCCTAGTCTGAATTCAAATTAATTTCTAAATATGGAATCTGGATCTTTTTTTAATTCTGGTACATCTGAGTCAGTCATTTTTTCTTCTCCAAGGAATTAAAACAGTTAATGCCTCTGATCCCTTCTGACACTGAAAGTAGTGTGTCCTTTTCCCAAAATTTGCAATGTATCTTCTCATTTTTAATAAGGCAACTCCCACTTGCTCCCATCTCTTAAGTCAGGACAGACCTAATTCAGTTAACTGAATGAAAAAACACATTTTCAGAATAAAATGTCTTCTAAAATTAATTTCTTTATTGAAATAAATGGGCAGCTAGAAAGCAAAAAAATAAAAATAGAATAGAATTGTTTATCATTTCATTCCTGTTAGGATTCAGTAATATGGAAAAACTATAGCGATCTTCATCAAACATACGGGACTTCAGGTTACTGAAAAAAAATTTCCATCTTTCCTTATAGGTCTGTTATTGAGCCAAAAAAAATAGTTTAGTTTAAAAATAAACAAACAAAAACCCCACAAATCTAGTCAGCCTATCCGGGTTGATTCCTCCTGTTTCAAATAGCTGTTGTACTCCACATTACCTTTTTATAGTTTCTTTCATTAGAGAACCTAGACCTAATTTTCTCTAGCCTTTCTGTACTACTACATTCCCTGAATCACTGAGCTATCCATTTTCAGTACCTCTTACATTTATTGTAGACTTTTTTCCCTCAGTAAATGAGTGTAATATTTTAAATACAGTAATTTTAGTCCCATATATAGCTTTACAATTTGTTTCTGAATTATGTTCAATCTCCTTATACACCTGAGAATTTTGATTGCTATCTATTTGCACTACTTATACCCATCCTACTGAGGTTTAGCCTTTTCTCTGCAGAAGCCCCCAGATCTTTCTGAATAGCATACAGCAGCAAATGAGACACTGAGTTATAATGGAGGATATTTTCAGTTTTATGTGTGGGTATATGCATGCATAACTCCCTCGCATGCTAAAATTAGAATACACCCTGTAGACTGCAGCAGTTTGTAGCATTATCAAACTAGCTGGAAACAGTTTTTCTCATGAGATTCTTTCCAAAGTTAAGATGGCATCCTTTAGAGCAGGAGATATCTTTCTTTGTTATGTGTTTCTCATGGTCCTGATCCATGAATAGAACCCCACGCATTACTACCATATATATAATAATTATAATGGTGGCCCATTTTTAACCATACTTATTCTATTCAATAATTACAGTATGGCAAAGATTATGTCTTAGAGCATCCTATTTCCTAAAGTTGGACAGCATTTTCTTTGGTTTGAGTTTGCAGAACAAGTACGTTTTGAGGAAGCATTTGAAAGGCCACAAACTAGGTGCCCATTACACTGTGGTGGAGTGGGAATCTCAAGCAGAGACAGCAGAAGGGGAGAAGGTCCAAAGTCAAGAACAAGAAAGAGGAAGTAGGAGATAGAGCAAAAATGTAGAAATGTTAAAAACAGTGCAGAGCTTTGAAGTTCAGACTTCTCATTCTTGCCCTGTTGCCAGAGGAAGCTAGTAGAGGGATTCAAAGGGAAACAACATGTTCAGAGCAGCAGGCGACCAGCTGAAACATGGGAAGCTCTTCCCCCCCACTTCTGACAACAAAGAAGCCACTCTGTATGAATGCTGAGTGATTTCCACCACCACCACAGGCTTAGTCCCCCCATTCTTTTACGTCTGCAATGAGCTTCTCACTATGTGGGAACATGCCTTTGAAAATTCCTGTGGAGAAGTACCATAGGACTAGGCCCAGTGGGATCCTTTCCTTTGCTGTCAAACTTTATTAAAAGGAAGACCGGATTGAGGAATAGGCAGCATTGGCAAGATGGGTTTTAAGGGAGCCAGATTGCCAGCAGGCAAAGGGACCCATGGAATAACAGGAAGGGACTACATTCTGTGACCATTTTATAGGCAAGCAAACCTGGCCTATATTACCACAAAAAGTCCCTGTAACTTTAGCTTTCATGTCATGCCCTTCCACAAGGCCATGATATGAAAGCATTCTGATCTGATTAGCCCATCTCTGGGTTAGCCCATCCTCCATTATTATGCCTACAATTAACTAAGCCTGTACAGCATGTGTAACTTCTAATAGTTAGACATTTAACTGGCTGTTTTTTCAAACAACTTGTTTTGTAGGCAAAACTGTACCTGCTAAACTGAAGGCTGTTTATAAATTTCTGGTTCTAAATATGTGCATATGGATGTTGTGTATAGGAATCATTTTACCCAACTGCTGCTATGCAGCCCCCTTTGGAGTGGAAAACAATTATGTTACTGCATGCTGTTAGACAACTACGCGAAGTAGCAAAACTGGAAAAGAAAAATCATGTATCCATTTGCAACTGTACTTCAAGGGAACCACTTGATAAGCAAGATGTATTAGTGTCTATAGAACTTGTTTTTTTAAAGTCTGTGAATGTGAAAGTCCATTAAGGCAAATACAGTGCTATTATGTTGACCCCAAATGGTTGTTTGGAAGTTGAATTATGTTTCTCTAAATTAGTAATTGGTCTGAATGGTCTGTATTTTCTGCATATTGACATTCACCAGTTTCTGTTTTGTTGTTTCTTTTTACTTAAAACAAAAATCAGATGTTACTTTCTTTATATATCTACAGAGCATAAAGATAATTCTGTTACTGGAACAGACAGTGGTTTGAATGTCTGCAGCTGGCCTCTGATAAAACTTTGCAAGTCATAGAAGTAATACCCTCAAGTGATTCCTTCGTGAAAGGGAGTGGCTGATACAAAGTATGAGGAATATCTGGGATGAGGATAATATACAGCATCTTATGATTTTTCTTCTTTCATAATCTCTTTCTTTCCTTTCATCCTTCAGCATCTAGAGCAAGAGAAACATGAATTAAGACGAAGATTTGAGAACAGAGAAGGAGAATGGGAAGGAAGGGTGTCAGAGTTGGAAAGTGATGTGAAACAGCTACAGGACGAGCTGGAGAGACAGCAGGTTCACCTTCGTGAAGCAGATCGAGAGAAAACACGTGCCGTCCAGGAATTATCTGAACAGAACCAAAGACTCTTGGATCAGCTCAGCAGGGTGAGTCATTGTGCTGGGGGAATGGAGATACAATTACAACCTTAGTCACATCTATCATTCAAAAAGTTTCTGAACTCTGCCATAAACTAGTAGGAGTAGTTTATGAAATGAGTAGGAGATGCGTCCTCCAGAAAAAAAGAAAAGCAAATTGGTTCTGCATTTCTGCTCAAAATACTTCAGTGTCCTTAACAAGATGCACAGTTTTTTAACAATATTTTTACACTAAAAATAAACCCTTTAAATTGGTTTGCAAGGTGACAATTTGTTGTTAGTTTTGCAATTACGGATATTTATTATTTACTGTATGGCTGTTTTTCATTCAACAACTTTTTTTGTCAATAGCTAAACATATGAAAATGAATTTAAATGAATTTGTGTTGTATGATTTTTTTTTTTCCCCTTTACCTTGTTTTTTACAAGGTCCTTATGGTTCTCTACGTAAAGGAGGGTTCCAAAAAGAATTTCTAATGGGAAATATTTTTAGATAAATGCATAATTTAGCTAATGTGAGAACCAGCCTAAATTTACCGGTTTAAAAAATAAACCTTTCTTGGAAAATTAAGAGTTACATTTTTGTCCTCATCAACTTTATGCCAGTTCTGGATAATGAGCAAAAATTGAACATTATGTTTGGAAGTGTCCTGATAAGAATGTGTTAATGAGAGTGTGCTCAGTCTATCAAATAAAGGCCTTTTTCATCAGGTGCAGTAGCAGAAGCTGTACAATGAGTGTACCTCAAACTCAGGCTGAAGACAAGGATCAGGAGAGAAGCAGCCTTTTAGAGTAGAGTGGGATTAGAATTTCTTCCTCTCTAACACAGCAGTTGCAAAAAGGGAAAGTAAGATCTGAGCAGCAGCACTAGAACCAGAAGAATATCAGTAGTTGGACACAGAAGTTGTAACAGTACCTATTTATTCTCCTCTTTCTGTGTAGGGTCTCTGAGGTAGAGGACAGATGATTCTGGGATTAAGGCATTGGATTTGGAGTAGGGGAAATAAAAATTTTATTCCTCATTCTGCCATGGATTTCTGACATGGCACTGAACAAGTCTCTTTCTGAGTCTCTGTCTTTATTCCCCTATTTGTATCTTTTGTTTTGTGGTTGTCATAATAATTGTTCTTTACCTCAGAGGTTTAATGTTAGAATAAGTAACATTTGTGAGATACTTGGATATAACACAGGGGCTATATAACTACCTCAAAAGAATTTCCCCTTTCTAAATCCTACACTGGCAATTCAGTCAAGGCCAGATGTGAAAGATCAATGTAGTGGAATATTTAGGACCAGACGGGTGTTCTGGACATTACATTTGGTATCCAACACTGAGGGTTAAGTGCCAGTCAGATTTCTACCAATGTCAGAACCACTCTTCCATTTCCACATTCATTTCTCAGCCAATTATGAAAAATTACATATAGGATTGTACCTTTTTGGCATCTTAATAAACTGAAAGACATTAAAAAAAGATTGTATTTCTTTTGAGCTTTGTGCCCAAATTCTTTGGGATTATCCATAAGTAACATTTATAATGTAGGAACACTTAGAAGCTTCAACTAGGTCAGGACACCACTCTTTCAGGCTTGTACAAACATAGTAATTGATAGTCTTTGTCCCAAAGACCTTTGCTCCGCCATTCTGAGTTCCTAATTAACCTTTTTTTTTTTTTTTTGCTTTTACTTTTCTTT